GTGCAAAATAGAGCACTTAATGCTTGTCATTTCCAAATGGTTTGGGTTATATCTTAATCTTCTTCAGCATTTGTTTTGGGTGTAATACTGGGTAGCACCGAGGGATGCATCACTTTATGGGCTCTGCATAAGCTGCAATTAAGGAAAATCCTCAAGCACACGAGAAACCTCAATTTTGATTGGCCACGTTCCCATAACTTATTGATAATTCAAATCACTCGAGTATTATTCAGTGTTTTCCTTCTCCCTGCTTTTTTTTAATCTCCTGACAAGTTTACAAAGAGAAGAATGGAGCTGAGCTGAGCTGCATTACATCCAATATGCTGCCTACACAAATGCCAGAGAAACTAAATGAACCCCAGAACATATGGCACTCTGCTGACAGAGCTCCGAAACTGGTTCTGCATGAGCAACAGGGAACATCTTGAAACGCACAAGACATATGTGTTTTAGGAAGAAGATTGAAGTGTTTCATAATAAAACAGGACAAAGTGAAATACAAGTGCTGTATAAAATTTTAATTAAAAACCGGTTTTACCCCTCAACGTGAATATACAATATGTTTCCCAGATGGATTTCATATTTAAGTATTATCCAAACCAAAAACATAAATGAGACAAATAAAGCCTTCAGAAATGGCAGAGAGGCTAAAATGTATGTAAACACTAGATGACTGTGGTGAAAACAAGGCAGGCAGGGAAAGCAACCTCTTAGCAAGTGTTTACTACTGGAGTACTGAATGAAGCAGTTCCTACAACTGTAGTCTTAGTACAACACAAGTAGCTAAACATTCAAAAATTCAAGTCAGTGTAACAATACAAATGCAAGCACTAGAATTCACCACCGTTCAGTGATGTAAATGGTGCTTTTGTTACTCATGAGTTACACAGGTTATTTTCTACACCGATAATTCATGGTATAGAAATGCATCATTCATGGCATACCAAGCATCAAACAGTCTCAGCATCTCCCCTGCTCTCAACCTCCCACGCCACTCTGTGTGAAGCTCTGCTCATTCCATGGCACCAGCTCCACAGGGTTACCCAAACGCCTTTCTGTGCTGTATCCTCAGGATCAGTAAATTCTTATGAACCAAGAGGGGTGTTGTTTTGCAACAGCAAACTTCTTTCCCTGAAGAGGTGAGAAGGTGGCTCGGATCACCACTTCTCAGGCTGCAGAGAATTCTCTCTGCTAGGTCAGAAGCAATCACCCAGAACTGAAGGGAAATACACATGAGGAAAAAGCACAATCTCCACATAGATCAAGCAAAGAGAAAGATTACAGTTCCTTTGTGTTGCCATCCAGACAAATTATCACCACACTTCAGAGAATCTCTCACTGAAGACAAACCGGGAACAAACTGCATCTCTTTGGCAAGCCAACACTGATAAAAGGAGCTACAGCCACATCTTTTAAGGGCTTTGGTTGATGTTCTTTTGAATTCCATGGAGAAAACAGCAGAAACCAATGCAGTCAAGGAGGCTTGTGCCCAACAGTTCCCTGTGTAACAGAAACGGGAATATCAGGTGTTCTCAATCACTTCTTACAATGCTGGTTTATTTGTTGAAACTGAAAGGAACTGGGCATAGACCAGTCCTGCTGCTACCAGAGACCATCATTTAAGCCAGACATCCCTCCTTTTCGTGAGGTAGCTCATCAAGATCAGCCACAGAAGTTCACTCTTAGCTTCAACCAAGAGGCTAAATTTCATTGATTCAAAAGTTTCCTCAAATTCCTTGATTACTAAACAAATCTCTCGAGATATTTTCAGCATCCTGATAATGAACACCCCATAACCACTGAAGTAATAACACCGTGACCTTTCCTATGACCCAGAGATTCTGCATTGCCAGATTTATACAGTAAGTGACCATTGCTAAATGGCTGAAAATTTTGTTGCATAGTTCAGTGTGTCAGAAAACATTTCAAGCTTAAAAAGTACGAAGAGCAGAATTATATATACTAAATTATTCCTTGCACACGGACTGAAAAGGCCTCCCATTCCTTCCCACTTATCTTCTCTGACAAACCTTTAGCACAACACACAAAATTTTCCACTGACACGATGCTCACACCACTGCACCCCTTGTTCCTGGGTAGAGGATGAGAACAAACCCTCATGTAAACAGAGAGATGTTTTCAGTGCTGGTTAGTACACACACCAAACAGCACTAAGATGTCAGGATGAAATAAGTAATTTATAGGTAAAAATACCCCACCTATATCATCAGAGCAATCAGTGTGAACCCAGATCATGCAGGAGACAAAAGCTGAGCAAGATGCCAACTGTAAAGATTAGCTCCTAAAAGCAGATGTAGTAAAGCAGTTCATTATCTGATCAGGATAGAAATCTATTAAATCTGATTAAGACTTGTTTAATAATTGTCTGATTAAAACATAATAAACCAGGGAAAATTAAAATAAAGCCTTCCTAGTAACCTAGAGATGAGATGGGACTTTTCAGCCAGGCTTCCATAAAATAATTTCTTAACATTCACCTCAGGATCCCAAAGCACTTCACAGTCATTTAATTAAGCTTCAACAGAGCACAAACTCCCCATTTTACAGCTGAAGTAACAATGAGAGGGAGTTTGGAAAAGACTGTTTAATACTGAGCAGAGCTAAATGTTCTGTTATTTTACCCCCAAAAATAGATTCCCAACACCTACAGGTAGATTTCTTTCTCCCCCACATAATTTTGTCAGCATCTGAAGTAATAGTAAAATTCAAACGTGATGCACAATCTAAAGAACAGCCCTTGTCACTTCCCAAGCTGCTCAGCTTTGGAATATAAACACTGTTTCCCATCTATCTTACAAAGCTGTTCCCATTACTCCAGCCATCCCTATTCCTCTTGTCCCCAGTGGACCAATTTAAGCTTCTCTTCTTTTAAGTCGAAAACTTAGATAAGGTAAATCATTAAAGTGTTTGACATTTCTGCCTTTAATCCACAACAGGTCAATGACTGAGTGATTTCCAAAGCAACTATTACTCAGCAAAGGATTTGCATTTCTACTGAACCCAGGCAAGTC